GAAAAATTAGATGCGCCAGTACTAGTGAAAATAGCCAACGACAAGGTTATCGAAGCAACAGCTAAAGGTACAATTAGTCTACAAGCTCAAGGGAAAAACAAGTGGCATGGCAGAGTGATGACCAATGTACTTTATGTTCCTGATCTTAAACGAAGCCTTTTTTCGGTAGGAGCCAAGACCGACAAGAAATTCACTCATCAAGCAAATCAGAGTGAATGCAGATTTCTTGGTGAAGCTGGCAACATTTCATGCATAGGAAAAAGAAAGGATAACTTATGCTATATGCTTCTAAAAGTAAACACCAAAGAATGCAATCTAACAAAAACCAATTCGTTGAAATTATGGCATGACCGTTTAGGACATACTAATTTCAAGGCGATAAAAGACGTAAACAAATACAACGCTGTTTGTGAATTGGAACTTGCTGATCAAGATTAAGTTTTCTGTGAAGCCTGCCAATATGGAAAACAAACCCGAAAATCACATAAATACGTCACGAAGATTAAAGCAGAGAAACCTGGTGATAAAATACATTCTGATGTATGTGGTCCAATGAGCGTTGCCTCACCGAGCGGTCACGTTTCTTTGTAATTTTCAAGGATGAGTGTACTGGATACAGAAATGTTGATTTTCTGAAACAGAAGAGTGAAGTGTTTGTGCGCTTTAAAGAATATAAAGCGTTGATCGAAAATCAAACTGCCAATAAAATTAAAGTTTTTAAGAGTGATAATGGAACTGAATATATCAATGAAAATTTTCAAAAATATCTACAAACACAGGGAATATTGCATGAGAGATCGGCACCCTACTCACCTCAACAAAACGGTTCTTCGGAAAGGGAAATAAGAACAATAGTTGAATCGGCACGCTCCATGATGTTGAATGGAAATGTTTCTACAGAATTATGGTCTGAAGCGTTAAATACTGCCGTGTATATACTGAATAGAACAACATTGAATCAGACAAAGAAAATTACAGCTTTTGAAGCATTTCTAGAGAGAAAACCTGAAACAAAGCACTTGAGAGTATTTGGATGTGCAGCTTACATGGCGATACCAACTCAGCTACGCAAAAAGTGGGACCCAAAAAGCAACAAGTTATTGTTTGTGGGATATGATGCATTGTCAAATAATTATCGATTATGGGCCAAAAATAAAAGAAGAATAATCATCAGCTGTGATATAAACTTTAATGAAGAAGAGTTTGAAGGAATCAATGAAGAAAATAATAACGTTTAGAATTTTCCTCTCCATTACCAACTTGATAAAAATGTGGTTCCTGAAATCAATGACGAAGAAAATGATCCAGATCTAGAGACCAAAAATGAAAATAACGAAGAAGACGACAGGATACAACTACGTCAACGAAACCTTTTAAAGCGACCTCATTACTATGGACCAGCCATATATTGTTCGATTTTAAGTCCAGAATCATACCAAACCGCAATCCAGTCAAACGAAAATGAAGAATGGACAGAAGCAATGAAGCAAGAAATGGAATAATTTCCAAAGCCAAAGGATCATCCAGTGATAGACAATAAGTGGGTGCATATAGATTAAGAGGGAATGTTAGAATAAGACTATAATCAAAATGCTTTTAATATTATCAATATAAGTTCAGCCATATATATTATGAACCACAGTTTACCACAAAGTCATACTGCTTAGGCAGCATACATTTTTTGTTTATCGCGAGAGCAACCTTTTTTAGTTAGTCGTCGTCAAATCGCTTCTGATACAGAATCGTTCTCGTGTTCGAAAATCTACTTTTGTACTGTGTTGTTCTT